GGGTTGCCTCAGTAGTTGTGGACGCCCCTCCCCCACACAGCGTCTTGGGCCATCTGCTCGGGATAGTTTGAAATCACGGTTTTGTTCGTCCCACTGGGTATCCCAAACGATCTGTCCCTACAATCCCCTGGGCTGGGCTTCTGTCCAAGTCTCATTCAGTATCAAGTCCAGCCCTCTCAAGTCTCAGGTTGCTGGTTCAACAAGGCATCCGGACAAGCGCGCCCTGTGGGGATTGCTGGGTAGGGCCGGCCGCCGCCGCCCTGGCTGCCAGCTTCGCCAGGCAGACCTACTGCCTGGCGTCCCGTGTCTTTTTTATGCTTGGGAGTTTCCCCGTTCTGTGGGCAACAAAGATCAGTCTGGAAATGCAGCTCAGACTCACCGTTTGCGGATTCAACGTGAGCTCCAATCCTGGGTTGTTCTCACAGCGCCATCTTGAGTCCTCCCACAAATACACTTCTTATCCAAGGCTGAAGAGTTACAGATCCACTGATGTGAAAGCAGTACAGGATTCATTAATAATGCATTCAGCCCAAATTTTGGCAACACATCATAAAACAATATGGAGGACATTTGGTAATTATAAAATTACACCAAGACCAGAGAAAAGGTAGCATCAAGCAATGAAATAATTACTCCTGAAATCAAGGTGAAGCAGAGGACTACTAGAGTTGAATTGCCTATATTAATGTTGTCTTTAGCAAGGTATAAAACAGGAGATACACTGGTGATAGGTAGGTAGGTGAGTGGGCACATTTTTCTGCAGAGTCCTTTTTGCAGTTTTATATGTCAATGTTTATTCATAAATGCTAAAACAGAATATCCTTTATTTTCTCTAAAGCAATAGAAATTATAGCTAATCTAAGCTAAACCAGTGCCTGCCAAAGTGAAGCCTGAACTTCCCAGACGTTTTCCTTTTGCAGTTCATTGTAAACATAATAGTTGGTCATCACCAAAATAATAAGAGCTTCATTATTACTACTCTAGGTGCTACTCTTGAAGAATGGATTGGCCTATTTAGTCGTGCATGTGTTATATATTGCAGAAAAAAAATTCACATTATTTTCATTGAATAATTTTCTGTGTTTAGCTACAACTGACATTTTATATTTAGCTATAAGTGATTTACATCTGTTTGAAAGTTTTAAAACACAATTTAAAAATTAAGTTTTATGTTTTTGAATTATATTCAAGTTCATTCTCATTAAAGAGACATTTGCTAACCTTTATATTTTAATTTCTTATTTTAATTATTATATGGGTTTAGAAATCAGGAAACTGCGAACTTGTCCAACTTCTTTCAAAGAAGCTTGATTTTTCCCCTTTGTAGATTTCAATCAGAAAAAAAAAGCAGAAAACAAGTACAATAACAATAATTACAGTAAATGTTTGAAAAAAATGAGTCAGCATTCAGAAAGGAAGAAGACATCATGTCTGTAAAAAAATAAATACTTTTATTAAAGTAATGATGCTTAAAGAGCAATATTAATGGCATTTAAGGAAACTTTCAGGAAGTTTAGAAACTGTTTCACATGTATGCTTTGGGTTCCAAATTGTGTATAATGCTTTCTATGTTATTTTAGCTAAACCACTGCACATATCAACTCCTTAAGAAACAATGCTAAACAGGCATGGGAAAAAAAACACACACAAATCTCTCCTTCAAAAAAAAACCACAAAACAGTTGAACTGAAACCCTCAAAAATATTTCCTTCCCAGTGAATTCTAAACATGCTTGTTACTTTCTAACATCTCTTTAAGAGTTTGATTATGAAGTCTAAAAATAAATTTTAAAATAAATAGGCATTTTGACAAGGGAAATGTATATTGCTGAAGACCTTTCTGTTTACACAACTCTTTTATCATATATATATATATATATATATATATCTTTTTTCACCTATGTATATATCTCAGTCATATATATCATATATATATAACTCTTATAACCTACACACATATATATATGTGTATATATATATAACCTACATACATATATATGTGTAGGTTATAAGAGTTTTATATATATATACATATATATATATATGTCAGTCTACAGCAATATGATACAAAATGTATAAATATATAATTTAAGAAATAATATTGCCTTGAGAATACTGGCTTTGCTGTATTTAAAATGTTTATGCTTGAACTTTACCCAGAGTTTAATTTTTTGATGAAACATGATTTTCTTTGTGTTTATTGTACAAGGAGGAAGTTGAAATTAGTATATAATATAGATGTCCCAGAAGAGTAGAAAGAAAACTGAAAGAGGACATTAGATTGAAGAGTCCAAACATTTCTTTTTTTTCTTTATTCATAGATACTAAATTTTTCAAAAATTAGGAACAGAATTGTTAGATGTTTATTGATGATGTATCTGTTTCAAATAGTTTACTGACATATCTGGCTGGATTCTGTACTTCACAAACCTACTTTTTAACCTCACCATTATGAGTTTCCATTATGTGAGCAAATTTAAATGTTTCAAGTTAATGTCATAGAAACTAAATTTTCTAAATAAAATTAGTATAATAATTACTATAAATTATAAGATTACACACAAAACTATTGACTGAAAGAACAGAAATATACTTCACCTAGATATTAAATTTTATATTTTGTTTCAAATTTTTAGTTTGCTTAATCATTCTCCGTATTTTGTAATAAAAATATAGCCCATTTGTATAATCAGTATGGCCTAATTCCCACAGTTTGAAATCATATTATCAAAGACATATTTTTATTTGTCCTTAAAAATAAGCAACCAGGGATGTGTTCATTTTACACTGAACATTTTTTAAGGTATCAACATATTTTTAACTGCATTGCAAACCAGGAAATGAAGAATGACTTCAAAGAAAATAAAGAACATCCAGTATAGTAATTATGTTACTCAACGACAGAGAAATACAGGAGCAGTGGATAATGTATGATACTAGAAAAGTTGGTAATTGCTAGGGTATGCTGAATTCTGTATATTTATTTGCTCAAATGCATAACATAAAATATGATCTAGCTATCATATGGAAGAGACTACATTTTAAAGCACTTTACAGTCAACATAACAAATTTTATGATTTCAGTTCTCACTTATTTTTCCTGTCATTGTAGCAAAGTTTCAAACTGGCAGATCACAGAGCATATCTACAAAACAGGAAAAGCTATTTTACTAGAATTTTACCAAGTCTTGATTTTTGTTACTCTTACCTCTCATCTGTTGTACTACAAATCTAACCAGTTTAGAATTTTTTTAGACAGGGTGTCACTCTGTTGCTCGAGGTGGAGTGTAGTGGCATGATCTCAGATCACTGCAACCTCCACCTCCTGAGCTCAAGAGATTTTCTCACCTCACTCTCCTAAGTATCTGGGACTAGATGTGTGTGCGACCACACCCGTATAATTTTTGTATTTTTGTATGTTTTTCTTGTAGGGATGGGATTCACCATGTTGATCAGCCTGGTTTCCAGCTCCTGACCTCAAGGGGTCTCCCCACCTCAGCCTCCCAAAGTGCTGGGATTATAGGCAAGAGCCAGTGTGCCTGGCCAGTTTACACATCTGTTTTCTTTACTTCATTTAGTTTTTTGAAATGCAACTGCAGTTTCAATATCCAAGAAAATTCATTAATAAAGTTTTATTTGTTTATTGTTATTCTTGAGCAATTCATGATAATTTTGAAAAAATAATTCTAAAATTGGCATGAAATATTAAGGGGCCCTAATATCCAAAATCATCTTGAAAAAGAAGAGCAAATATGGAGGACTCACATTTTTTAATTTTAAAACTTAATACAAAGCTACAGGAATCAAAGTCATGTGGTATTTGCATAAGGATAGACATAGGTCAGTAAAATAAAATAGAGAGGCCAAAAATAAACCCTCATATACATGGTCAATTGATTTCTGACAAAGATGCCATGAACATTCAATAGAGCAAAGATAGTTTTTTCCTAACAATTGGTACTGGAAAAAATATCCACCTGCAAAGGAATAAATTGAACTTCTTCTTTATACAAAAATTTATTCACATGGATCAAAGCCTTAAATGTACATGTTGAAATTCTGATACTCTTTCAAGAAACACATAGGAAAACAGCTTTATTGAATTTGCCACTGATTTTTAGGATATGACATCAAAAGCACAGGCAACAAAAATTGAACTTCATAAAAATTCATAATTTGTGCACTAAAATGTGACATATAAACATATCTAAAGCACATATATGTATACAATGGTATATTATTTAGCTTTAACAAAAAATAAAATTCCGATACATGTTGCAACAGTGAACTTTGACAATATCATGCTAAATGAGACAGATACAAAAGGATAAGTAATGTATGATTTCAATTGTAAGAGGTACCTATTAAATAATAGACTAAGAGAGATAGAAAACAGAATAGTAGTTATCAGGATCTGGGGACAAAGAAGAATTCAAATTATGATTTGATGGGAACAGACTTTTAGTTTCTGATGACTAAAAAGTCTTGGAGACCAATATTGGCAATGGTGGGAAAACAATATGAATGTATTTTATGCCACTGAATTGCACACTTAAAAATTATACACTTAAACGCATATAATAGTAAGTCCTATGTTATGTATATTTACCAAAATAAGATAATTGAGTGTTAAAGATAATAACTATCTAAATGTGTAATTTAAAGAATATATATGCAATTAAAATGCTTACTTCTAGGCTAATGCAGATTAATAACAACTAATGCATACTAATCATATGCATACTAATAATAACTAATAATCTGAAAACAAACCAAATGCCTATTGACAGGGAAATGGCTAAACTGTGGTATACTCATATAATAAAATACTAAGCAATAAAACATATGCAATAACATAGATAACTTACAAAGAAAGTATGTTCTGTGAAAGAAACCAGGCAAAAGATCATACATAATGTATAATTTTATAAATACTAGAAAATGCAAACTAATCTAAAGTAACAGAGGTGCTTGCTTCTTTTACCCCTACTATTACCTAAGGATGTGGCAGCGGAGTTCAGTAGCAGAGTGGAGTGACTACAGAAGAGCACAAAGAAACTTTCGGGGTGATAGGTATGTACATCATCTTCATTGGCTGTTAAAATTTAATGTACATACTGTGTAAGGAAAATACATCTCAAGATCCCAGAATCACTTAGCCAAATGGAAAAGCCAGGCTGAAAACTTTGGAGGGCAAACCTGCCTCCCATTCTATTCCTAAAAAAAGATAACTACAAATAAAAATGCTACATACCCTCCTTACAATTTGTCCACAGTGAAACTCCCAGGATGTGGAGGTTGCAGTGAGCCAAGATTGTGCCACTGCACTCCAGCTTGGGCGACAGAGTGACACCCTGTCTCAATGTGATTGCTTCCTTTGGAAAGGCTATTCAGAAACTCAAGGAAATGTAATAATCTGTCTCTTCCCTACCTATAACCTGGAAGTGCCCTCCCTGCTTCAAATTGTCTTGCCTATCCAGACAAAACCAATGAATATCTTACATATATTGATTGCTGTCTCATGTCTTCCTAAAATGTATGAAACCAAGCTATGCATCAACTACCTTAGGCACATGTCATCTGGACCTCCTAAGGCTATGTCATAGGCATATACTTAATCTTGGCAAAATATACATTCTAAATTGAATGAGGCCTGTCTTAGATTTTGAAGTTCACAATAATAATTACATAGTACAATGTTAAATTATAGATTCTAACTCATTTGGTCTGCATTGGGACCTGAGTTTGTACATTTCTAACAATCTTTCAGGTTATGTCAAAATTATTTTTCCTAACACTGTACTTTGAGTAGCAAGGCTATATTATAGTGCTTCACAACCTATCTGAGAGAAAGGTCAGGTTTTTTAAAAAAAATCAAACAATTATATAACCCCGCCTCTACTAAAAATACAAAAAATTAGTTGGGCATGGTGGCACGTCCCTGTAATCCCAGTTACTCAGGAGGCTGAGGCTGGAGAATTGCCTGAGCCCAGGAGGCGGAGGTTGCGGTGAGCTGAGATCATGCAATTGCACTTCAGCCTGGGTAACAAGAGCGAAACTGTGTCTTGGAAAAAAAAAGATTAGTGTGGGTGACCAGCCTTCCCCAAGCACTATGTATATGCCATCCCTGACCAAACAAGTCTGTAAGCCCTATGAAAATCAGACAGCACCATCTCTAGCCTCCTTATAAAAACTATTGCAGTCCACCACCTCCCACTTTTTTAGGATGTCTCTCTCTCTCTCTCTCTCTCTCTCTCTCTCTCTCTCTCTCTCTCTCTCTCTCTCTCTCGCAGTGAGCTGCTCTCTTCTCTGCTTTCTTCTGTCTATTAAACTTTTCACTCCTAATCCACCCACATGTGTCTATGTCCTGAATTCTTTCTCAGCACATGACAAACAAATAGCATAGCTGCTTCAGTATTTAATTATATTTTTAAACCCATTTATGTATTTTTAAAGCAATATATATTGCTTTTACTATAAAAGAACATTGAATAGAAAGTGTTCTATTGTACCTAATTTCAGCTAGGATTCCCAGTGTTTCAATAGAAAGAAACAATTCTGTAATCATTATTTCATATTTTCTTATCAGACAACTGTATGCAGGGGTCTATAAATTCAACTGGGAATTGACTTGGTGATTTATTGTAAGTCTTATGGGTAGAGAGACTACTTTGGCGTATTATTTCCTCTACCATTGTAGATTCTCCTCATAAAATCAAGTAAAGGGCAGAAGATGCTTAAGAAAACAATTTCCATTACTGTGTTGACTGAATGATTTAAATATGTCACATTTACAGTCAAGTGACTTCATGTGTGCCATGTATTTTTTGATTGATCTTAATAGGCTTGTTTGAGCACCAGAGAGAGGAAGGATGGGTGATGGGCAGAAGAATGCAGTGGCACACCCATCATTTTGAAAGACAGGGTTGATAGTTTCATGTGAATAAAGTGGGTGTTATAAAAGTTAGCTGGGATTGAGCAGCAAGATTGTGAATTTATTATAAGCATTCAAATCTTGGAGGAAATTTAGAAAAGGAAATACACGGTTTTACATATTGATAATTATCTAAAAGATTCTCACATAGGCTCCACAAATAACTGTTCGAGAAGACATTAGGGATAAAAGTGATCTATTGCCACTTATCTCCTCATGTCAGATCTAATACAGAAATGTGGAATTAGCATTAAAAGAATATAAGAATTAAGTTGTAAATCCTATAAAATTTTATTTTTAAAAACACTGACTGGGACTATGTGACTAGAAAGCTAAAGAATCTCTTTGAGATAATGTTCAGATATAGGACGTGAATGACAGAGTTTTTTTTTTTTTGTTTTTTGTTTTTTGTTGAAGGCAGATGGATCCTGATTACAGTATTACAGCAGGTTTGCCTTGCTTAAATAAGTCAGAACTCTTGGAGAACACGACAGAAGTGTATGGAAGGTTCAATGTGGTTCCATCACCATATCACTGTAATAACATCTATGCATGATACCCTCTCTTTCTTATTGGTGACTTTTTGACATTGTTACCAGTGGAAAGTGTCCAAGTTCTTGGCATCTTGAACAAAGAACTGGACAAAATGCACCAAGAAAGCTAAGAAAGAATAAAACAAGAAAACCGGAGATTTATTGAAAATAAAAGTATACTTCACAGGGTAGGAGCAGGCCTTAGTATGGAGGCTCAAGATCACTGTTACAGGATTTTCTAGGGTTTAAACACTCTCTAGAGGTTTCCATTGATTATTTGGTGTACACCATATGTAAATGAAGAGGATGAAGTAAAGTTACAAAGTAATTTACTCAGTGTATGCCCTATGTAAATGGAGAGGATATTTCCTGTCATAGCTGAAGTGTGTTCATTTGATTCAGTTGTCAGGAGTCAGTGAAAATCAACCTTATATTCCCCATCTGTAGACCCTGTTCTCCTGCCTCGACATCCAAAAATAATCATTTTATTTAGTTTTTCTGATTAATCATACAATATTGTGAAGGAGTAGTGATACTAATATATACACATTTAACTGATTTGCTCCCCCAAATATGGACTATATTCAAAAGCACAGAAGCCTTGATAGTTGGAGGTGATAATTATTTGAAAAGATAATCTTATTCAACATAAGCATTTGACAATTTCAGATTTTGTCAACTTGTTCTATGAAACTTAAATCTTATTTTCTTAATAAGAAATCTTAAATCTTAAGATTCCCATTTTCAGTTTCCATAGTGAGTTCCCATATCTTCTAGTTACTTTCATTCTTTATTTTAATGATAATGACTGCCACCATTTCTTGGGTTGTTAGGTATTTAAGCCACTGCTAAATGCTTTATGTGCATTATCTGTGTGAATTGATATTATTATTTCCATTTTTTCTGTAAGAAGATTCTTGGAGGCATTGGATACATCACTGGTTCTCACTACTAGTAAACAAAAGAACCAGAATTCAATATACACTTTGTTTTATTCCAAAGCCCAATTTTTAGTCACAGTTCTACCTTAATAATAATAATGCAGGAATCCAAGGTTGACTCACTATATGCAGATCAATAATAACGATTTACCACATAAATAGATTCAAAAACAAAATTCGTATGTTCAGCTCAATAGATGCAGAAAAAGCATTTGATAAAATTTCTAGTGCTACAATACACACATATGTGCATGTGTGTTTATAGTAGAATATTTTAAAGCTTTGGTTATATAACCAGTAATGGGATTGCTGGGTCAAACTGTACTTCTGGTTCTAAATCCTTAAGGAATTGCCACACTGTCTTCCAAAATGGATGAACAAATTTACACTCCTACCAACATTGTAAAAGCATTCTTATTTCTCCACAACCTCTCCAGTACCTGCTAAGAACATTTTTGAACCTTGCCTTGTCTGCTACATTTCCTAAGAAAAATTCTAGATCTATTCTTAACTGCAGATTTGATTTTCTATAGCTCTGGTCTTTCCACACTTTTTAGTTACATAATCACTCTATGGTGAGCTGACCAGCAGGGTAGTAAAATAAAGCATTTTACTACTTTATATATTTTGTTTTTTCATCACTTTATTAAGATAATAGATGGCTTCAAAAAGCCAGCAAGTTCAGAAAAAGAGTAAACAATGTTCTTGCTCAGTTGTTCTTCAAAGATTTATGTGTCATAAATTAACTACAGTGTCTAGTAGCAAGAAGGAAATTATAGAAACTGTTTTTCTTTTTCTATCAAGACAAATATTATGTAATTCAGCAACCTTTGTCCTACTCCACAGTACTGAATCTCGAAAATTGTGGGTAAACTGAAATTTACCATGAAACTGGAATTATACATTTTAGATTGTAATTTATGTAAATAATCAGATAGCACACATGCTATGTTTCTGGAAGTTTAAAATACTTCCTTTGTTTAAGATAATTAACACAAGTCCTATAAAAAAAATGGAATAGAACAAATAATTTGATTGACTAAATATACACATATGTAGTTCTTATTCAAATATATTGCAATCATTTTCAATATTAATTTTTTATACATTAATATTAAATTTGATTAATTTTTTAGTAATTCCATGAGCATATTTTCATTTTAGCAACTTAAAAGCTACTATTATGGTTAAACAAATAGCATTTTACATAATTGACAATTGACAGTATGTACAAGCTGTTCTGTTCATTAGTGGACCAAAGGAATGGGTTATAAAATGATAGAGGACATTAGTTTCCTAATTCACAGGGTATATTAAATGTTTCATGGTTTGAAGGATATTTTGATGTTATTTTTCTACAACATTGTACCTATTTATTTATGCACTAAATTTCTCTTTCTCCACAAACCTTCATTCATAAGTGTGCATAACTAAAAATATCTTCAAATTTACTTTATTTTCTTCATATTTTCATCATCAACAAGTTAAAATATTTATTCTAATTACAATTATTTTAAATTGTATATATTTTAACTTTGAAACAAGCATAGAAAATACAACCCAAAAGTCACATATACAGTCAAAATTAGTGAATATATATGTTTATCATATTAACTTCAGATTTTGTAATAAACAAAAAAGAAATAGATTTTTTATAACATATGTTGATTCATTTTCATTCCTTTCTTTCAAACCGTATTAGTAACTTATCCAGTGATAGAGTGTTATTTTGTAAGATTCTTCTTTAAGCTTAAATATATTGTTATGTAATAATTTATATTACCTATTTACATTTATTTAGATTTTTGCATCCATATTAATACATATGAATTCTATTTCATCTTTTGTGTTACAGTCATTTCATTAAGAAGTCCCTCTTCAGATTTCCATATTTTATCTAATGTAGTTCTAAATATTTTGTTTTTATTTTTTATTCTTACAAAGAGTGATCCAGTAAACATCTCTATAAAAATTCTCTAATGCACATTTATAAAAGTTTATCTAGATTATATATTCAGAACTGCAACTTGATTCCAGCATTAAAACATTGTAAATTATTTTAGATACCTCTAATATGCTGCATATGGTTATACCAATTTACTCTCTCACCAACAGGGTATTAGAGTTTCCATTTTTCTAAAAGTTTTCCAAGATGGTCACTGTGGTATGCACCTTTACTCCCATCTCCAGAGGCTGAGGCAGGAGGATCACTTGATCTCAGAAGTTTGAAGCTGCAGTGAGCTATGATGGCACCACCACATTTTTAGCCAGGGTGACCGAGGAAGATTCTATCTTGAAAATTTTAAATAAAATTTAAGAACAGAAAACAAAGGCAAAAATTTTCCAATACTTACTATTTTATTTGGTGTCTTATTATTTCTATATTTAATGGGAGTAAAATTATATCTATCTCAACATGATTTTCCCACACCACTTTTCTAATTACTGAGATTGGGCACCTTTAATATGCTTATTTTCTGTTCCTAATTATTTTCCTGAATATATTTAGGTCATATTATTTTATATTTGTCTATTGAATAAATTATTTTTAGAGATTTATTGGAGTTCTTTATACACTGTGGATATTAATTAACTCCATTTTATGAGAAACCTATGCTAAAAGTCAGCTGTTATCTCTTAACAAAGATTAAAGTTCAACCTTTATTAAACAGACCGTCAATGTCTAGTTACTGCTTTTTCTGCTATTGAAAAGATCCATGCAAAGTAGAATTACTAGTTTTGCTTGTTTTCAGGGCAATTCCATCAAAATTTCAACAATAGATCCTGGATGCACAGGAATGAATTCATTGTGTGCTAACTCTGCTCCACCTCTTGGCTATGATCAGGTCTACAGTGATAGTAGGAGGGCTATGCATTAACAGTTGTGGGAAGAAAATAGTTTAGAGGTTACCTGGAAAAAAGCCTTCCCTACTAGGCAGAAGTAATTGATTCTATATTAGTTGTTTCATGAAACTGTTGGGAATGCACCCTACCAGCAGTAATAGCCTGAAGCTTTTCTACTTCACTTTTTCATGTCCCCTATGTGTGGACTATATAAACTTTTTCTTTAGTGAGTTCCTAGGTGTTTTAAATACCTTTGTGAATGCTTGAGTTTTATTGAAGTAGATACTATATTTCTTTTAATAGAGAATTATCTTTCTACCTATTTGCCACATTGGTACACTAAGATTCACAGAACATAAGTAAATTCATTTTAATTATTGAAATTTGAGTCACTTATAAATGTGTAAAAGTGATTTTTATGAAATTGTCCTAATATTTAAAATATTATACTGTTTGGCAAATACAATTCTTTGTAAAATAGGAAAAAGGAAATAGGTCAAATGTGAGGACAATTCCTCAATTTATCTCTTCTTCAACACATACGTAATGATTTGAAAACAGTAATAATAAAGTATTGTAGAACATTGACTAAAGATAACTTTTTTTTCTGCCTGTGAGAGAAAAAAACAATATGCTGTGATTGTGGAAATTACAGTTTTGTTTTTTGTGTCAAGGTTATGCATGAAAAGTTACTTATCAAGATCATTTAATACTCAGGGATATGCTAGACTTACATCCTTTCAAGAACTTCATTATTGCCATCTTATTTCACGTCCCAGGTTTCCTGCAAAAGTTGAAATCAAACTGAATTACAAGTTGAGACTTAGTCAACCAAAATGTGACAATGTGGCCTCAGTGGTTTCAGACAAAGGAAATGAGATATTCTGTAGTGTGTTTTTTACTGTTATGTTAAAGCTAAATATTCCAGGTTGTTAGAAATCTATTACTAAAATATTGATGAGATTTGTCCTCCAAGTACTTGCATAGCCATCTTGAACTACTTTGTCATTTCACTGTTTATAGAGTTGCCATGTGGTTATAAGACAATCGTTCCAGAACTCAGCAGAAGAATTTCCCATCATTCTTTGGTACAGAAAATAGTTGAATGCAAAAAGCATATGCTATTTCTTCATTATTATAGAACAGTTATCTGTGCAACTTTCCATAGGAGGATGTCAAAGAGGATGTTTCAGCTGGTATCATTTCTGCAAGTATGTATTAAAAACTAGAAATATCTATCTTTATTATTCAATTTTAAGTGTTTCCAATTCATTATTATAATAATTATTTATATATTTCTGAATTTTAAAACACACTACTGAGTCTTATAATAGGCAGTTGTTCTGTTCCTTTGCTGTGTTTTTTTACTGTTGCACCACTGACTGTGTTTTCTGGTTATTTTTTAGTAGGCATAATTTCTGTATGCTTATGTTTACATAATGAAACAGCCATT